GATTTAGGCCCCTAATGAGCAAACCAGTGGGAACAGAGGCAAGAAGAACTCCCTCAGATGATGGGAGGAAGAAAGCATGAGAGGAACCAGACTCAAATGGAGCCCATCTTCTGTGTGACACCCAATAGCGAGATTATAATCCACTACATTAAACAGTTGTAAAAAGAATAAAGAAAAACAGTACCAAGTGTGTCTTGTGAATAAGAATCCTGGGATGAGCACAAGACAGTTGTTATTTATTATAGAATTATTATAGAGTTGATTTTTATAATAACATTTACCTACGTGTGCTTTTCGATTGGCCACATGATGTTTGTTTCACAATTACACCGATTTTAGTATGATTTGGTTGTCATACCATTCACCAGTGTCACCATTTGCTGAATGATGGAGTTGCAGTTTTATGTTATTACAACATGCTACTTTCTTTTTAGCTGATTTCTTAAAATTGGCTATTTATACGAATTCCAAAAGATCAGCATTTTTGTAAAGAAGCATACCAAACCAGCACTAGCCTCAATTCCAGCTATAATAAGTGTTACAATGCAGCCAAGGACCGAAACTAAAGAAGAGAAGCAAGCAGTCATTCAAATGAGGCTGTGGTGTGACCTCCCACAATGCTCTCTGACTAACGCTCACACAGCTGGTGGGAGGAAGATAAAAGAGACTGTAGGCTGACCAAGGCAAACAATGGCCTGTATATACTGACAACACATAAGAAAATCAAACACTCAGGGCTCTGGACCACTAATGAGTGGCTGGGATAATGACGTCGCATTTGATAGCCTTTGCGGCACTACTATCACTAATCGGTAGTGACGAGAGCAGTGCCTGATAACACCGTTATAGTATATGCTGTGGCTAAATGAAATTTAGTCAAAACACAACCTGTTGTGTCTTTCACCAACAACATTGTTTTTAAAACAAGGAGTTATTTTATGTGACTTTTTTTTAAATTGTAGCTTGTAAAAAGTTTACATACGATGCTCTCCGAATAGTGAGCAGTGTAATAAAATTAATATAGTTTCATAAAGTTCTACAGTAGGTTGGACCTAAAATTACCTCGTTCTATTATGTAAGGAGTAAAACATCACGAGTCATGCTGTTAAAGGAAAATAGTAAATGATGGTTTGATACAGCCCAATACACAAAGCAAAAATCTGAAGTGTTTAACTCCTTTTATACCACAGCAATTTTCCAAGTGTAACAATTTTTAGGTATTAAAGAATGACGTGTCATACATTTTATCACCTTATAGTTGCATTTACCGTTGTGGAACATCTGCCAAACAAGTTAGTGCCTCTTGTCAGTAATATGTTATAGCAGCTATAAACAGTTACACTCACTAGGCTCTCTTTTTTATTTCTCTCAAAATGAATAGGACGAAAAAAATGTAGCTTGTTATCTTGCCCTCCATCTTGAAGACTTTCCCATAGCAGAAAACCTAAAGTTACAGCTTTACCTTTGACCGTTTTAAAGCATTGACACTGGAGACTCCTTCTATTACACGTTTTTAATCTGTTTATGTGTCGCGTCCTCCATACAAGTCCCTGTGTAGGTTGTTGCTATAAATCCATAAAAACCTTGCAGCTGATACTACTGCTACTAATTATGGAAAATTAATCCATAGCTTTTGACCAATCAGAATCAAACATTCAACATCCCTGTGGTATAAAATGTATTACTTTTCAAAATGCTACTTTTGCTGTAGTTTAATGACTTCCAGCAGAGAATACCTGACTTGGGTAGTTAAAGGTGTTAAAGGTAGTCAAAGAAGTTTTAAGGCCGAGAAGTTAGTTGACACCGAGCTCAAGAGCTCAGCTCTGCTCTTTTTCTCTAAAAGGCAACTTGTGTGTAACGTGCAGGCACATAAGGTAGGATGCAAATGTGGGTGGCGTGATATTTATTTGGGTTAATACAATAATCATAATCGTTGCCCATGGCATGCATCAAAGCATTAGCAGGCACATGTAGAAACAAGGCACTCAGGAGAACAAAATTTAGTGACGTAAAGCATAACAAGACTTTGCAAAGGTACCCAGACACAACAAAGTATAGACAGACAAACTAATCAAGAACTAGCACAAAACAGGTGGACACAATCAGATAACAAGACCAGAATAAACCCCAGTGCGTGCCCGTTTCGCCATTCGAACTGCGATGTGGAGGGGGAATCTATGTCATCATGGGGCATACATAGTATTACTGGAGGGGCTACAATTCATTTGGAGGGAAAGAGAAGACTTGACAGTGTATACATTGTAACGGGAATTCACCTTATAGGCAGCAGAGGGCTGTAAATATTGCAAACAAACAAACAAACAAATATTGCTTCTTTAACATTTTGACATGGCTTAGCGTTGCATGATAAATAGATTATTGGGTGTTTGTGTATGTGATTATGCAAAGAAACAAAGATCTCCATAAGTATTATTTTTTTATTCTATTTACGCTCTTCTTTATTCAAGTGTAGGATAGGACCATAGTGCAGTATGTCAGCTTTATGGTATTTTTCATTTATATCGTTCACTCAGAGCTTTACCACTGTCACAGCATCAACCCAGCTAATGCTCCTTGCTCAGACGCTCCCTGAAATCTCTGTCACGTCTTTAGTGAGCCGTGATATCATCCCCTATCATTCCTCTTTTCTTTCTCTCACTCACTCACTGCTTTTCTCTCCATGTTCTCTGAGGCTGAGCATATTTTAGCTTCGGATATCTTCTTCTTCTGCATGCTCTGGAAAGAGGTAGTGTATTTGCAGCTGCCATGAGTAAGCAGGGGCAGATGACAGGCAGACAGGATGACAGGCAGACAGGATGACAGGATGAAAGGTAGACAGGCAGACAGAGCAACAGTCCTCAGCTGGTAGTGACCTTGCATATATAAAAGCTGTGAGTGAAGGTGTCTTTCTTTGTTACATCATTTTCCCGTTCAACTTTTGGATGTACTGACAGTACTGATGATTAGGGTTGGCTCTAGCTTCCCTACCGTTAACGAGAGCACAGTGTCAGGTAATTAGCAAATAGTGAACTCCTTTAGAGCGGATGCTATCACATTAGGCTGAATTGGCTGCTGTAGGTTAGCTGTATATTCATATTTCACTGCTCAAGATCTACTGTATAATTGCATTATAATTTCATCCTTTATTGCAGTGCAGTAAAATCTAAACAGCCGCTTTTCGGTATGCTTTGTTAGTATATCACATGTGCTTTACTTTTAATATTAGAACAGGTACAGTTATGGCTTACAGTTAATGAATTGCGAGTACAAGCTTGTGGTTATGTCAACAAAAAACAAGAGAAAGTTCATTTAAAAGTATTTGTCCTATTTTTTTTTTCTATAAATCACTGTACCAAAAAGATCAGTGGTGTTTTCTGTCTGCTGTGTCTCTGTCCTTCTAACGGCTGCATAATCATAACAGAAATGAGATTAGGTTTGGAATGAACATGTCACATGCTCGGGGCACGTGTTGGACTAAATCTCTCCTCATTAATAGCACTGGAGGACAGCTTTGTTTAGGAACAGTGTATCTATATCATGATAAGTTGTCTTACTATGGCTAAGGGTGATCAGCCTTCTGACCTTGGATCTTGTTCGATCAGAGGAGTTTTCTGTTTTCATTACATTGTAGGTTTTGTAACAAGGATTTATTGAATGCTTTGAAATAGAGGACATGTTATATCATTTGACAGACATAGCAGTCTATAAGTATTGTTGTATAATAAGATATCACACTTGTTTCTGAAGACCAGTAAATTCTGCTTTCTGTGTCGCATTAAGAGATTAACCCTGTTCAGGTTATTAGCTTTGAGGCACATGGCTAGGATGGACGTAACGATAAGACATGCACCTCTACGTAATGCGCTTTTGTAAAACAGAGTGGAGACAAATAAAGAGCCCACAGGGACACCACATTGGTGTTATGTAAGTCTGGGTCAGGGCAATATGATGGTACAGAATTGATAGTCTTTCAAACCAGACTTCTAGCTTTCTCTTGAGAGTCTGATACTTTTTATCACTGAAAGGAGCCAAGAACTGGCTACTTTTACAGGAAGAGGCCATTTGACTGGTATTGTAAATGGCCAAACTTGTCTACTCATTACTGTTTCAAAAAAAAAAAAACTGGCTAATAACCCGGTCTAAGAATGGGATGATGTTAGCTTTTTCAATATGTATTGAAAAATCCAGACTGAAACAAGATCCTGGTTTGTTAGCTATTTCAATCTTAGCTTTTTCAGTATATGTTTTCCTAGTTCAAGGCAGCATACAGAAGTGCAGAGAGCCGATCAGATTGCAACCCTGAGATTCTGAACACAAAAGTTATTAGTGGAGCATCAGAAGCAGAGATTAGATGTTAATATCACAATAAAAAAGTAACATTATGATTGCACTTTGTTAGCTTGCCCAGATATGTAATATATATTGTGTATTATGAAAATGTGTTAGTGTACCATGATGTAAGATTTTTACCATATTGCCCATCCCCTTAACGAGTACAATATGTTAGCTGCAAATTGCAAGCTGTAATTATATTAACCTTCAAATATAGGGTTAAATGAAGACAACTCATTTGCGGCCTTTACTCATCGTTCATTTAAAAAGCACCTGCCCTCTGCCCTTCTTTCATTTGCATAAAAATCCTGCTGGAACAATGACGTGTACAGCTTGATGTGTTTGGTGGTGTAGTCTACCATGCCGAATGTAGAAGGGTGACTAATTGGTCCCAAGGCACAGGGAAGCTGCGTGGCGCACATGGCATCCTGACACGAAGTCAGTCCCTATGACTGAAATGGTGCCCTACTTTCTATTCCATACAAAAGGCAAAGTGAATTTTAGGTGTTCTGTTCCCTCAAGGGCACTTTGTTTGGACCCTAACCTATTGTAGCACTTTGTGGGATTTTTTGGAAGTTCACTGGATATTCTCTACTATGCTTTTGGAGGTGAATATCAAAACTTCCAAAATAGTGCACTATTTTGGATATACCAGATGTGTTTTGTCATCCATGGTGGTCTAGTGCCTAAGGATCCTGTGATCTCGCCGCCGTGGGTCGGGTTCGATTCCCGGGCAGGGAACCAGCCCAGCCACTGGCGGTGTACTCTCAGTGCCGGTCCAAGCCTGGATAAAATGGGAGGGTTTCTTTAGGATGGGCATCCGGCGTAAAACCTGTGCTAAATCAAGCATGTGGACCAGTGATCCGCTGAAAGGACAACAACAACAACTACATGACGCACCAGCAAAGAGATGCACTTCCAGAATTTACGGTGATTAAAAACTGGTTCTATCACTGACCTGACAAGCACTGTGTCTTAATAAAATCTGTGTGTATATTTACATGTACTGAAGGAGGACAGTGTTGCACTGGGAATGCGAGTGTCGGAAAAGCTGAATCATAATCTAATTTCAGTTATTTACGTGGAGGGTGAGCCTTGATTTACAACAATGCATTTTATAGTTATAATAAATAGATTACAAGAGATCGAAAGGGCAAAAATAAATATCACAGAATAAAACATTAAGTGAGACATTTATATTCATTAGCTTCAATTAAATATTTAAAATGCCACAGTGTAATAAGAGTATCCCGTTTCAGGGTCCTGTGATGTTTCTTCCAGGTGTGTGGTTCACTGTTTCTGAAGGCTGTCTTTCTTATGTAAGGTATATGAATATGAATGACTCCATTTGGTTGGGTTTTTCCAACATAATAGAAAGGTGATATGAATATTTTTTTTCATAGCACTTTTTTTCAGGTACACTTGCCATGTAGGTCAGTTTGTAGGTATAGTGTAGCCCATCTGTTACTTTGCACAATGTGTGAGCCCCCCTCTACCCTCTACGTCCATGAGTGAAGAGGGACCACCCAGGACCACTGCTGACCAGATATTATCCAAGTGGTGGGCCATTCCAAGCACAGCAGTGGCACTGGCATGGTAATAGCCCTTTACTGCACGTTATTGGGGATATTAGCGAGCTAGCAAATCCCACTAAGTGATGCTAATGGCCATCACCCTGACTGAGGGCTTCTTAATAAAACTAATGGAGTTTGATGAGTCCAGGCCTTTCATGGAGGCCAAATGCAAATGGCTCCTTTTTGAATTCTCTGCCATTCAGATGTGTCATGGACCAGCAGAAGTGCCTGTCCTCATGAGGAACACTACATTAGACATGCGAGTCCTTGAGCTGTTGGCTTGGAAATGGCACACTTACTTCCACTGATTGTTCAGTTACTGTTTTGTTTGTCGGAAAGAAGTAAACTGCTTAACATGTCTTGATTGGTTTTTTTTTTTCTCTCGTAGCTCCTTGGCCCAGATTTGCCAGAGCACTCTCGTTGAAGCTTCTCATACAAACTAAGTGAGATTCCTGCTTGACGTTTAAGACTGTTGCTTGTACTGCAGCAGACAGCTATTGTGCTGTCTCACAGTTGCTGAAGAGAAACTACTTCTTGTATCAAATGTAGTATATGGTATTGTTCCACTCTATTTACCTAATTCTAAGGCGTAAACATCTATCATTGCCAGTGCAGACAGAAGTCTTTTGGATCAGTAAAACTAACATTGCTGCAGCCTTAGAGATGCACTCATCCATCACGATTGATAGCTACTGCATTGAGATGCTAATGCGGACGGCTAATGGCTTTTGCTCTTGGCTGCTAGAGTCAGCAACCAGTAAAGGGTGTTATTCAGCAGAAAGGTGTCCGGTATTTGGACGTGTTCACAGGCAGTCTGAGAGCGCTGATATGCTGACGTGATTATTTCAGGTTGTTGACTATTTGTCTCGATGTTTCCTTTCCTCACTTTGTCCTGTACTATTATGGTCCTTATTCCTGTGCGCAGTACTCTCCTTGTTCTGTTCTATGTAATCTGTTTAAGCGTTTTTAAATTAAGCGTTTTTTGTCAATTTAGTCTATAAGAGGACCAGTTTTGTACATTCTGGTTTTTAAAAGTCCTGCAAAAGAGATGTATAAAGAATGCTTGGTAAAATCAGTCCTAAAGAGCCCTTAAGTTAATAACTGAGTTTACGGAGGGTTGGTCATTTTGGTGATGTTCACATCCAACACACATACTGTATATATTCTGAGTGGCAAGAGTTTGGCCTACAACTTCTGAATACAAACATAAAGCATCCATCACCATTTTAGACTACAAGAATATTATGCTTTCACACAGAGCCTGGCTATGTGCATGCTGGGAATTATTTGCCTGATTTATAGAATATCGGAATAGAGCATTATTTTCTACCAGTCCTGTCTTTGGTATGCATTTGACTCTTCAAGACAGAATTTTATATATAAGATAGTAGACATTTGGCATATATCATGTAACCGCCCACTTTTCCAACTTATTCCATCATGGTTTTCTTCCTGTGTCTATTCTTGGAACATGGAAATGGAGGCCATTATCTACAGGTTTCTTCCTCCTTAGACAGTCCAAGCAGATTTTTTCGTTTCTAAAACTGCTGATACCTGTCAGTGTCTGAAAGACAAATCTCACTTTTGTGCTTATACATAATAAAAACTTTTGTGCTCTTAGGTCGAGTCTGTAATTTCACTTGCATCACTACAACATGGCACTTTGACAAAAGTAATATGAAACGGAAAAAAAAAAAAATCAAGTTTGTGCTGCAAGATCAGTTAATTTCAAACAGAACTATATTTTCTTTCACACCGCTGCACATGTATAAACTTTAACAAAAGCTTCTTAAATTATACTGTCCTTAGAAAAGGTCCAAGATCTCTCCACAAGTGCCTAGATCCATGTTAGACATTATATGAGAGGCTGTTATTCTAACCAGATGAGACTTCACCACATATTAATTTTAAGGGTGGAGATATTTCTTGCACCAGTGTATTGCAGCAAAGAATTTTTTTTTTTCATTTGTGTTTTTAGTAAAACAAAACATAACAGTGCTCCCATGTCTGTAACCTTAAAATATTAATCACTGCATGTTATTAATTTTATATATCAATTCTGCCCGTTTTCTGTAAGGGTGCCAATACTTCTGGAGTGCACTGTACAACTTGTCAGTTATATAACTTACATCCCATCAGCTGTGATAGCTGAAACACCGCATCCCATGATGTTTGTAGTGAACGAGTTTGTACTGGAGCAGTGCTACAAATTTCAGACTGAGAAATGTGTCTATGATTTATGTGTCTGTGATTGGACCATCACGTGAGGAAGAGAGAAAGAGATCAATAGTACAGAATGGACTGGGCATATCGCCCTGGGGGACGAGTAATTTAATCTCAGAGATGGCCTTCTGCTCAAAGTCTGCATGCTCTCTCTCTCTCTCTCTCTTTTGCTCTCCAGCCAGTGGACTTGTATTTCCATGTCTGTATCATGTTTGTCCAGGATTTGGGTTGTACTCAGTGCCCTTATGTTTTCATAAGGAAGGGAAATGTATGTTTATGTGCTATCTTCGCTCTGTGGCTGTAGCAAACATCTGGCTCATTGTGTGTGTGTGTGTGTGTGTGTGTGTGTGTGTGTATGTGACAGTGTATAGAAAATAGTGGGCCTTGTTGTCTCCGATGTCAAATAATGTGCAAGTGTGTAGGTGTACAATAATGTTAGGGTGCTTATCTACTCAGCCTGTGTATCTAAAGCTTCATATACGTCACACATGTATGTAACCTTTATAATGAGGACCTTTAGGGGAGATGTGGGAATCTCTAGGGACTTCGGGGTTCGATACAGTTTCCTTTCCGGCTGCCTTGACGCAATCATAAATTGATTATTCCTGCATCTTAATGGATCTCTAATTTTGACTTCTATAACCTACAATGTTTTTTTTTTTTTTTTTCCTCAGCATGACTATTTGCTGCTTTTAAAAACATAATATTTCACATCCTGAAAGAAGTCCAGAGGCTGAGCCATATGACGGTGTGATAATGACATTGCAATAAACGACGTCATGCAGTTTTAGTGTTCCATGTATTCTTAGTCCCCAGTTCTCTAGGTTCCTCTTAAATGTTTTGAATACTGAATAAGATTTTGTGCCCTTAGTTTTTTCATAATGTTGCTCTAATATTTTGTTGGCTCAGTTCATTTACAAAACCTCAACAAAACAAAATATTGGCATACGTATCGTGTATTATTATTATATATTTTTCACACGTCCCTAAGCTTAGTGTCCCAGTGTTTATTTTACATCAGAAATGTTTCATTCTGTTGACATTTTATGATCAGAACATAATTAATAATTGTAATGTAAAATTCTGATTATGAAATTTTGTGCATTGATACAGAATTGATTCAGAGAGAATTTAAAACATTAATATTATTACTATTGCTATTAAAGACTGTATTTAAAAAAAAAAAAACAACAACAACAAATTATTTACATTTTCCACCATGTGAATGCTGCGATTACAGAAGCGCTAATACTGATGTGGATTTTTAATATTGATGAGGATGCTAGAGTTAATGAGGACATGGTGCCATGTTACAGCGTTTGTGCGGATATTGTGTGGCCAGTGTTGTGATGATGATTATTACGCCACAGCGCTGTTGAGTTCTGATTGGTTCATTTTGATTGTTCTCATTTCTATAGCGACATAACATGTCCAGTATCAGTGCCTTGTAACAGTCAAGGTACAGCTGTGACCTTTTTCGGAAAACTTTTAAGGTTTCCGTCACAGGAAAGCCTTCAGGACAGAGGGCTTTACACTTTAGTTGCCCAGTAACATGCCAAGCTGCAGTTTTTGTTTTGTTTTTACTAAAGGAGACTAAAAGAGAAAGAAAAAGGAGAGGAGATGAGGGAATAACTGTTTATAGCTTTTATAACTTAAGTGATAATAGGAACTAACTTGTTTCATGGATGTTTCACAACAAGGCTATAAGTGGATATAGAGTAGGACGTGTCATTCTTTAATTCTTTAAAAAAAAAAAATGTGTTGGCAAATTGCTGTGGTATAAGAGGAATAAAACTCCTTGGGGCATCCTATTATAGGAAAATCCTTAACTTTGGGGTAACTCCGCTTCCTGTCAGGCCGCATCCCACCATCTTGTCATTGATTATTTTCCTATAACAGCACATCCCTTCGTATTATATTCCTTACATAAACAGTATACTGTCT